AGTGTGTTCAAACTTGAAAACGTCTGCTGATTCAATGAAGTTAATTTATGATAAGAGATCTACTGAAGTCACCTTTGTACCAGGAGACAAGGTATGGTTGTATAATCCCAGGAAGACCAAAGGGAAGTCTCCTAAGTTGTCTTCTCCATGGGAAGGCCCATATGACATAGTGGATCGTCTCTCAGACGTGACTTTCCGGGTAAAATGTGGTCAGCGAGGTAAGCCAAAAGTGGTGCATGCCAACAGGCTATGGCGTTATCACGGTTCAGGACATTTCAGTTGGAACGAAGTGGACAACAGAACAAATGACGCTGCTGAAGACGTGCCACCTGAAGAAGCCACCATCGAAGAAGAAACTCTACTCAGTTTTGAGAAGGGAAATGGTGAAGCTCTTGATGAAGTTACTACCACTGATGTGACTGTTATTGACGATATGACATTTCCTGATGAAGCAGATGAACTCCATATAAAGCAGAAGCCAACGAGACGGAGACCAGTACGGAAGAAGATACGTCCCGTAAAATTAAGAGACTTTGTTGAATTGTAATTTTGTGTTTGTAATTCTGTACATTTAATTAAGTTATTGTTAATTGTTATTGGTTTATTGTAAGTGGCTATTGTTCAGGAGGAACAATACTAAGGAGGGGCAGGGTTGCGTCAGCGAGGTCACGTGACTAGTATCACGCCACCTCTTTCTAGTAATCTCGTGATCCTTCTAGATATAGTGTAGTCTTGTATATAAGACCGGCCATGATGCGACGAGGTAATGAGTAATTTAACTGCAGTCAGAGAGTGTGTAATTGAACGGAGTATTGTTGAAGACGAGCACGTGAGACGTTTGTTATAGAGTGACTGTTGAAATTAAGTGTATCGTAATGTTGCAATCGGAAAGAATAAACCAGTTTTATTTAAGAAAGGACTTGTGTTGCTAAAGTTTCGTCGGAATGAATTTACGGAAAATTAACTAACAAACGGAGACGTAACAACAACAAAAAGCTTTTATATTCAAATTAATTTGTAAATTTAAAAATTCCAATTTATGTTTAGAAGAAAATAAAGAAATGCAATCATATGCATTTGATGTATATGTAATGATTTAATAGAGATTTCACAATCACATACTTTTGTATTTAAGCCACTATTTAATTCTATTCTCTCACATTTCTAAGTACTTACTTGTACATGGTAAACTGTAAGGCAATGACAAAGAAACAGTTTCCCATCTTATTTGCCTTGATACAAACATGTCTACATATCACCATTAAAACGTGTGAATGCCTATAGGTCACCACTGTGGCAAAATGTACTAATGCCTCCACATCGTCATTAAGGAAAAGATTAACTTAAATATTAGTTTAATAATCTAAAATGATAATAGACATAAAACCCACAACATAATATTCAAAACAAGATTTCCTTCATATGTTGGTTCTATTATAAAACATTCTTCAAGCATTCTTTGCTAATAGATATGGGGACAGAAAAATAAGCATAACTAGTGATTTCTATTGATATAATTATGCTTTTTGCCTCAATAGTTCGAGTGGTTTGTCCACCACCACTATGCCAAGACACTTTTATTCAATCAGGTTACTGAGTGGATTCCTATGCGTATTAAACATGATCCAAATTATGATAACCCAAGTACATAGAGAGCATATACAGCAACTTGTAGTTACAGTAATCAAAGGGCCTTTACCAAATATTTATCCAACTGATCCATGTCAGTCTACGGTATCTCAACATCTACAGTATAGCTAGAACTACCCATTACTACCAATATCATCCCCAAACTTTAATAATTTGTTAATCATGCCCCTATGAGAGTCATTAACATAAATAAGAAAAAGTTAAAATATTAAGGCACTCCACGAGTAACAACAGTCCAGTGTGACCTGACACCATTAATAACAGAACAGAGATTTATACTGTACATTTCTACTCCATCTATACATGTTATATATTTAAGGACAACAAGGCTGTACCATCCACTTAACTAAACTATAGTAACTAAAAAAAAAAGACTTAAAGCCAGCCTTTATCATTTAAATATTTACCAATCCTTCCTTTGAAAACTCCCCTAAATTTACTGCATCAACCACATCTGCAATTCAATCATTCCAAAGATCAACCACCCTGTTATGAAAATAAAACTGTCTTCGCTGCAGATGACTTCTACCCTGTCAAAATTTACATTTCTGTCCCTTTCTTCTTCAATTCTTACCATTAAGTATGAAAAAAATATGAGGCATTGACACTATCTCTTCCCTTAATAATGTTAACTACCTCAATACTATCCCATCTAACTTTTTTTTTTCATGAAAAAATAATTTCAGAGATCTTGGCTTGTCCTCCAATAACAACCTTTCTATCCAAAGTTTCATCGTAGTAGCCATTCTTTGAACTCTTTCCAACAATTTAATGTCTTTCTTGAGGGAAGGACACAATATTCTGAATGAGCCTAACAAATGACCTATACAATTAAGTTATAATATTTATATTCCAAATTTCTGTAAATATAAGTTAAAATCCTATTTAACATAGCATTAGAGGACAACAAAGGACCTATTGGTCCATCTAGGCCATTCTACCCACTAAATTAAACACTAAAAACTCAAACTCATCCCTCATCATTTAAATATTTATCAGGTTTATCCTTAAACTCCCTTAAATTAACTGCAGCTACCACATCTGAAGGCAACCCATTCAAAAGGCCAACAACCCTGTTATAAACACAAGGCTATATTAGCTGAAGATGACTTCTACCTTACCAAAATTTATGTGTGTCTCCTAGTCTTATCATTCTCATCATTAAATATGAAAAAAGATGATGCATCAACACAGTCAATTCCCTTAACAATCTTAAACATTTCAACCAGACATTTCTAACTCTTCTTTTTGTCAAGAGGAAACAAGTTCAGAGATCTTAACCTATCTTTGTATGACAACCTTTCCATCCCAGGTATCATCCTCATACTAGTAGTACTAGTAGCCTTCCTCTGAACCCTTTCCAACCATTCTACATCCTTTCTAAGGTAAGGATCCCAAGACTAAACACAACACTCCAAAAACATGTTGCCTGAAAGGTTTATGTCAACAACAAAAACACCAAGATTCTTTTCTTCCCTATCACTGTTAAGGTTACTCCCATTACAATTATAACTCAAATTATGGTAACCCACACAAATTACTTTGCATTTATTATAATTAAAAGCCAATCTGCCATTAATTCACCCAACTAAACAAATAATCTAAATTCTTCAGTAAAGTAACAGCATCCTAATCACAGCCATCAACACCCAAGACCTTAACATCACCAATGAAGTTATTGACCATTGTTTCATCTATGTAAAAAAAAAAAGAGTAAAAGTCCTAAAAATGGATTCTGAGGTACCCAACTTGTGATATTAATCCGGTTTGATGGAACTACATTTATAACAACTGTCTGCATTCTTCCATCCAGCTATTTTTCAACCTAATGATCCAATTTATACCCCATACTTATAGAGTTAATTTTTTAACAGGTCTTTTGTGTGGTACTTTGTCAAATGCTTTCTGAATATCCAGATACGCCAAGTCCCCACCCTCACTGAGTTACTCTCATCTACATAAGCAGTAACCTCTTTAGAGACTACCCCTAACCACTAACTACCCAATTCCAATAAAAAAATTTAAACTTTGTTAAATGTATTTGCAAAGCATCTTTCAGTTTCAAAAACTTTTCAAAATTCATTGAAGGTAAAGAATTAAAATTGTCTAGATAATTTTCCAAACTTCCTAATTCTTTCTTAACAAGTTCAGAATATAAATAGTCTTTAAACTACAGTTACTACTAGGAGTAATAGTATTACTACATATTACTAATTCAAGTATTACTACTAGTAGTAGTATTAGGCCTTACACCCGTAACATTAACTTAAGTGATTAACACCTAGCTCACTTACCTCCCTTCAGGGCAACTCGAAAGTTAAATTTTAAATCTTGACAAGCTTCTATCCAGTCTTTTACTAACCACGAACTGCACTTCCAAGATTCTATCATGCCTTTAAAAACAACAGGTGCTTGAAGTCTGTTAACAATTAACTTTCTCATATCCTCACATTTCAACATTGTCATTAAATCTGAAGTGCCAACTGACATATGGTAAAGAATCCTATCGACGTATCCAGCATTATCCAAAATGTGAAAATATTGTGGCAAAGCCTGTTTCTAATTTCGAGTAAAGACTCTTTGTCGATTGAAGTGAACTGCTTATTTAGGCATTAAAATTTATATATAACATTACATACACTTCGCATCAACTGGTCGAATTATATTTACGTGTTGGGCGGAAAAAACAAAAACACGGCATTATAAATTATTACAGCGAGCTTTTTACAACCAATTGATTGATTTATACTTCTTTTTTTTTGTTCTTGTTGTTAAGCGCAAAGCTACATAATAAAAGCTTTGAGACGATTTGATTGGATCGTGAACAAACTTTATTATAACCGTACAGTTATAATAAAGTTTGTTCATTACGCACTTAAGCCGTCTCATAACTTTTTTCTTAAAACTAAAAGTGGGTTCCTCGTTATCAAGTTTTAAACCTACATAATGAGTTATGTATCCTCTCTCACCATAGATATATTTAAATTCGATTTGTAGTGTCGTAAACATACAAGCGTAACGCTGAGCCATTAGGAACTTGCTCTGTATTTGTGGTGTAATTTAACTTGTTGGTTTGTTTTCGTTTGTTTGTTTTTTATTTTGCGCAAAGCTAGTCGAGGGCTATCTGCACTAACGTCCCTAATTTAACATATAATGTAATGTTTAGGGACAACACGGGACCTATTGGTATATCTAGGCTGTTTCATCCTCTAAACCAAACTAAAACTATTTTTAAAAAACAACTTCAAAGCCAGCCCTTATCGTTTTGTTACGACAGCGGAAGTCACGTGACGCTGGTAACACGTCATGATATTCAAGAAGGATATTCTGTTCGTGGCAACTCTGGTCCTTTCTACGCGCCCTCCATTCTTGTATATAAGTGCGCAGAGATAAAGCGAATTAATTAATCGGAATAGAATTGCTGACAGACAGAGACGGACAATTGAGTCAAGTGCGGTAGTGGCCGTAAATAAAGTGCGTGAATCGTTGTGAATTCTAGCGTGTGTTTAAATTAAAGTGACTGTGGAAATTATGTGTATTGCAAAGTTGAATTGAAAAAGAATAAACTAGTTTTATTTAAGAAAGGACTTATATCGCTGAAGTTTCTCGGAAAGAATTTCTACGGAAAGTTAACAAACGACCAGAGACATAACAAATTAGTGTCAGAAGTGAGATGGAAAAAAAAAGAAAATGGAAACAAGAGGTGGTAAATCAAACTACAGCTTAGCAGATTTGATGGCAGCAATACAGGAACAGCAAAATAAACAAGAGAGATTACAACAGTTGTTGGAGGAAAAAGAAAAGAAATAAGAAGAGAGATTACAGCAGTGGCAAGAAAACCTGCAACAGTAGCAGCTCGAAAAGCAAAATAAACAAGAGAGAGATTACAGCAGTGGCAAGAAAACCTGCAACAGTAGCAGCTCGAAAAGCAAAATAAACAAGAGAGAGATTACAGCAG